AGTGGTAACAGACACAAAAAAAAAAAAAAAAAACACATCTTAGTAAAACCAATACCTTCTCAGCTTCGCATCGAAGCTAAAACAAAAGTATAATTTATATTTTGACAGTGTATTGCGTTAAATTATCTATTTATTATTAACTTAAAATACCTGTTTTTTTGTGAATTTCGTTCTAGTTTTTTTCTCGTTTAATTATAAATATATTTTGATAAATAATTATTCAAATATATTTGCAATATGAACAATGTATACAATATTATCATAATTTATTAAGAATTATTTGAATATACATAATCTCGAAAAACTCCTATTTTATGTGTTCTTGATAATTTATATGACTAATGTTATTTTGTACAATTTTACTAATATTATTAAATAGAATTTTAATTTTAAGAATAACAATCTATTTGGGTCATTATTTTTAAGTTTTGGATTGAGTAGTTAATTATCCATTGTCACAACTAAATAGAATAAAACTTTTAACTCGTAACGTTAATCATTTTCATCGTGCTTAAAAAAATAATTAAAAAATTGCACGGAAAAAAATATGGTTAAAATAACTGTATAGTTTCGATAACAACTTTTGAATCAGTTATTTACTCAATCTAACCAGAAATTATTAGCAATTTTAAGTAATGACTGGAGGAGTGGGAATTGCTATTTTTATCACTAGTCATTTTCCAGCTGTACTCATCTTCATAATAATAACTGTATTACTCAATAGTAATCACAAATTAATAATAATTTCAATGTATATAAGTGTGCCTAGCACGTTTTTGATAATTCGTAAAAATAATTAAATTTTAAATTTGGGGGGGCCGGCCCTGGGCCACATTAAATCTAAGGGGGGCCAGGCCCACCCATGTCTACGTGCCTGCCTTCACGTGCTCAAAGGTGTTGAAAAATGACGAAAAAAGGTAGAAATATAGTATTTTGCTTGTATCTTTTAAAATATTAATATGACGGAAAAAACTATAGAATTAATTTTGTAGGAAAACATATTAGCAAAATAAAAGGTTCTTACAATATCTCTCTAAATATTGAGAGTACAATAAAATTAAATGACATGATCAAAAATAAACTACGACTTAGTAATAAAAAAATAAGAATAAATTTAAAAAAAATTGTCATTTTTAAGTTTAAAATTTTTTAATTTTCACAGCCTATTACATTTAGAAAATAGATAGCCAGGGTAATTATTATTAAATTTAAATTAAATACATAAACTTAAATTTTATGCATTGAGAAAAGACAACCCAACGGATTATGGAGTCGCCACCCTCATGGCTCTCTTGTAGTAAGGTGTGTCGAGTCGGTAGCG